TTTAACAATTGAAGTAGAACCTGACCAACAAACAGCACCATAAAACTTCTAAAACGGTCACCTTCAAATGAATTGTTTTATTATATATAGAAAAAAAACTTGGAAAATATATTACACATGTACAGATTTTGTCCTGGCAGGAGGAGAGTTTAGTTTATCTTTAAGTTGTTTTCCATCTTTAAATTCTATGATCCTCTGAAACTTTGTTTAGTGTTCCTTGGCAAAAATATTCTCAATTCGCAGCTCCTGAGAGCTCTTATTTTTCTAGTAAAGTTAAATTCACTTTTCCAGTAATCACTCATAAGGAACTGCAAGAATACAGATTTGCAATTTGTTTTCCATTAAAAGAACAATTTGACTAAAAATGCAAAAATATAAAAAACGCCAACGTGTAATGTTATTTATAAACCTTTGTATTTACTTGCTCTTCAGTTTGCTAGCTTCTAAATGCCTACAGATTTCCTTTTCACATCATTTTTACCAGAAACAGAAATTTAGTTTCCAAGGATGGCAACTGCCAAGTCTGTTCTTATTTCAAAGGCCAGCTTCATATTTGTTTTTTCTCTTTTCCTCAGCTTTTTGCATTTTCTCAGCTCTCCAAGAGTTTTCAAAAGTAACAAAGAATTAAAAAAAATTGAAACAATACTCCAGCACATTTCCACAGCGCCTTTAGGTTTGCTGGGCTGTTTGCAGCTGATGTTAATGGACAGAGGAACAGCAGATGATGCTATAACGTGGTACAGCACCTTCACCATCACACAAGCCAGAATGGTCTTGTGCCCAGAAGTGGTAACAGGCAAGAGGACAGCAGCAGAACAGAGTTGTAGGTCCTGAGCTTTCCTGACAGGCTGCAGCAGATATATCTTAGCCATACGTGCTGTGACCTTTACAATGAATACATACACATATACTCAGTGTTTCCCTTCTGATCTTTTAATCAATAGATTTGATTATATCTTCATTATTTCACATCTACCCACAGAAGCTTTAACTTGTAAGAAATAAGATATTCAAGCAAAGCTTGCACAGGTTAGCCACTTCTTATATTGGTACATGTATAACAACAGTTTGTTATTGTTATGTCATTGTAAGTTCTTATTGAACTTTCCTTCTTCCCACTCTCCTTTTCTTTTGACAGATTTATCTTTAAAATGACATTTAAGGGCATTCATTTTGCTTCAAGTTTATCTACACTACAACTAGAAAGGACAGGAGATAAACTGTATCCAAACAATTCAGCTGCAAGCTTGCACGTTCTCAGTATCTGCATGCAAACCAAGAGCATGGCACTAAGGTGTGGTGCAGCCTGTCTCAGGGAGCCCAGCATAGCCACTGGGTGTTTACAAAGATACTCCAGCTTTGAAGGTTCAAGCTTCAGAATGAAGGGGAGGCAAATGAGTACGAGAATAATGGAAGCCAAAAACAAATATAGAAAGGACTAACCTCCTTTATCAGTGTAGAATGATAAACAATCTATCGTGCCACAGATGTAATTTTCCCATAGTTAGCCTAAAGGTGAGCATGACAATTTTTTCCAGCTCTCACTTTTTGCTTGTTAGGGATGGTACTGAAATGTACAGGTTTGATGAGGAAGTCTTTATTGAATTGTACATACATCTGAGAGAGCACAGCCAACTAAAATTGAACAGCACACCCTCCTGTGCTCCTGTAGGCTGCACGTGGAAGGCTGCTGCCTGGTATCACAGTTTATCACTACACACTGTCACATTCCTGCTCAGAAAATGCATAGAAAAGCTGAACCTTTTCAGAGCTGGAAGGAGGACACCAGCATTTGGGCCATTTGGTATGAATTCTTACAACATCACAGAACAGTTCATGTTGTAGTGTACAGTCTACAGACAAGTAAGAGACTCAATTTAAGAACTTTGAAAACCGTATCAGTGTGGAGAATTTGGTAAAAGGATACTAGCTCATTAAATTCTGTATACCACAGCACAGTTTAGATGCTCTCAAGGAACACTTCAAACTCTGAACTTGGGATGGAAGATCTCTATAACCACAACAGCACTGGACTGTTCATAAAAACTGCTAATAGAAAAAAAAAAAGTTACATAGCATTTATAGAACTCTGCAGGGAAAAGTAAATACCTATTTCCTTAGTTTGACTCAAATAGCTACAATTACATAGATATCTTCAAACAACAATGTAAAAAGGCTACTCTGCAGTGTTGTGAGACACTCTGAAAGGGGTAGTGTTGCTGGGTCTTGCATACTTAGACTGATGCCTTAACAGCATTAGAAAATTCTTTCAAGTACCTCATTGTTTTGAAAGAGAACTACAAAAATGTCAGTGTTTTAACTCAGATTTTATCAGCTCTGAAAATACTGACTCAACTATTGATCTTTTAGCCTGAGTTATTCTGAAGGAGGGTATGAAAAACCCATCTGGATTGATTTAGCTTTGGTCTCAAAACACAAGTACCATATCTGTATACATAATGATACATTAAGAAGTGCATTATAAAAGGCTACATACTTGAAAAACAGTCCTTTAACTGAATGATATAAATACTGCTGATGCACTAGGTGCATTAAAGATCATTAAAGCAGCACTGTTTACTAGTAATAAAAAAAAAAGTTTACTAAAGTAATAATTCGCATTTTTACAATCAGAAGTCTGAAGAAAACTCCCTTTCAAGTACTCTGACAGGATCAGCTTCACTAACTACTTGGTGGTGTATCACTCAATATGCAGCTCCAGCTCAAAAAGCTTCTCTCTGGCAATGGTATATTTAAGAACCAAAAACCTTGCATGAGTAATTATAACATCTTTTTCAACACAAAACTAGCATGACTTCTTTAATTGTTACAGATCCAAAATAAGCCCTAAAACCTCAGCATTACACTGCCACACTATGGCACAATTAAGATCTGCAAGCAAAAATAGAAAAAAAGACAATAAAAACTCCTCTACTTTAATTATTTAGGACTACAGCATCCACCATTAATTTCTGTAAAGCACTAAGAAAAAACTTAGATCTTGCTCGGCACAAGCTACCTAGGAGCATTATGTTTGAGGATTTTATTTCAGTTCTGTTTTTTTCCCCCACTTAAAGAAGAAAAAGTTTACTTTCTGCAAATATTAAATCTTCAAAGACTAGTTTGATATGCCTGTTGCACAGATGGGATATGTGGGGAAGTGGATACCAGGGGCATTTCTTTGCTTTGTTGGCTACAAAATGTAGAGCTTTTTGTTCTCTGCATTACAATGTGAACTGAAAGGTTTTCAGTTGGCAGCCAGTTGGAGGAAAGAAATGTTCAAAAAACTTCTTTAAAAAAAAGTTTGGTTTTCTTTAACTATTTGAGGTCATGCTACAGAATTTGAGAATCTTCTTTTATTTTATGTCAGCATGTAATTTATTTCAGACTTAGAAATATTTAAAAATATATAGTATTTCCACACTTTTGCTACTAAGTTTTGTAAGAATTAAAAAAATAAATCCTTTTTCTTTCTGACCTTGAAGTGCAGCAACCCAAGATGCCCGAATTTTCACATCTAAGTTTTCATCTACAGCAGCTCATTGCACAAACCATATGTTATTTTAATTACTTTGCCATTTATATAATTTATGCTTTCCACAGCATTTGTTTTGCAAGAAAGCTATAAATCAGTTTTCTATGACCATTACCAGTATTGCTTTATTCATTCTAACATTCCATTTTTAAGTGTTTTCCTAATAAATCAAACACCATACATAAGCAATCAGCTGAGGCCAAGACCATACCAATTATTTTACCTGCAAGAACTTGCCATGACAAACATTTCCCATAGGGCATAATGAAATATATGTCTGGTGCCACAGGACTTACAGGAATACTCTGCACTGAAGCATTAAATAAAGATTAGATGACTAACTGGGGTACTATTTGTTCCATCCCTTTCTTAATTGCTATTGTCACCACTTTGGTTTACAAAAAATGGCAGTTAGATACATTCCAGTCCTTTCCTGTTAGGATGGTTTATTCAAGCTTTTAAAATCCCCGATTATATATCTTTCACCTTCAAAGACTTTCAGTTACAGACTGCTTCAGCCATCAGTTAACAGGGTTTTCTCTTTTATACATTACCTATCTCTCAACCACAGGTACACTTTAATACAATTTCTGGTATTAGACCTCTGCTTTCAATTATGACACAATTTCTGTAAATTTTTTTTACCACCTTTACTCAAAGCATGAGCCACTAGGTTATACCCAAGAGCCTAAGTCTTCCTGATAGCCAGTATCTATAAACAGCCAACTGTGAACATTATAGATTTTTAACAAACTCGGCTCTAGGGCCTCACTAGAAAATGTAAAGGTCTCATGTGCATTCCTGAACTGTGACAGGATCAGCCTGAATAAATTCTGTACTCTCACCTGGTAGCAAAATTGCAGCCTACCACCGAAGACTTGTGATTTTGCAACTCTTTTGGGAGGGGAGGAGTTTAGCAAATCTGAGTGACACTGAATGAAGACTATTTATGGAGAATGCCTCCTTAGCAGTTTTAGTGTTCAGCAGTTGCCAAAGAATCATGCTGAACTGCATAAGGAACCTAAATATAAATTCCAGATTTGCAACTCCTCCCCAAAATCCAACAAAAGCGAATTTTGAAAATGTTGGTCTTCAAATGCCCTCAAAATTTAGCAGGAGATAGTAGAGCACTTTGGTTATTCTTTTTTAGCTGCAAAAAATCAATACACCCTTCCCCTCTGACAGCAGATGTATCTTCTTCTATTAGTTATTCAGGCACCACCACAAAGTACTCAAAATTAGGTAACTTCTCAAAAATACGTATTATTTAAATTCTAAAGATGTATGCTGAAGTTGAATCTAGTTCTAAAAAATGCCTTTCCTTACAGTCCATAAAGAAGAGATTAATTAGGATAAATGGCATTCTTACTGCTTCTCAATTATGCCCTCCTTGGAAGAATCAAGACCATGCTTCACTGTCATTCATTAGGCAATCCCTTCTAGGAAACTAGAGGAAACTTCATACCTTCCTGAACTTTTCCATCTGCTTATAGAGATCTGGATCCAGCTCCTGAGACACATCTTTCATCCAGAGTAGAGCTCCTCTGTATTCAGTCCGATACTGCTCCATTCTGTTCACTGTCAGCCACGTGTCTGAGATGGCCCTGTACCTGAAAGTCTCCACTTCTTGATACAATCTACTGAGAGGAGTACGGAGTGCTAATCTGGGGGAAGGCATGAAGGATAGAGAGGAAGGAGAGGAACACATTAGAACATGTTGTTCCACAAATAATTAATACAATTCTTGACAATTTGCTAGCACTCAAAAAAGACATACACAACCATCACAGTTCGTAAGTGCTAGTGTATGTTCAGATGATCCTACCACATGGTTGGAGGTACACATGAAACAGAGTAATTTTGAATTAATATTGTGTTTGCAACCCCTCTGTTCAAATAGCAACGTTTCAATTACATGTGTGAGGGGAAAAGAAACCACTTCTACTGTGCCCATGTATTTTAGTTTGACAAGCCACTTGTAAGTTATTACCATTCCTCTTCCCCAGTTTAATTTAACAACTATAAAAATATACCCAAGGTAATTTATTACTGGGAAAGTATCACAGATGTATCAGAAATGTCATGCTAAACATCACAGAAAGCACTTCCATTAGCCTTTCAGTCTTTAAATGTAAATAAATAAGTCATCTGCCAGCTAGGTAATTATCTCAGTTTTTTCTTTATATTCTTTTTCTTAGTACTGGAACCATTCCTTTGAAGTACATTTACCTTTTGGAAGATTTAGATAATTATCTAAACATTTCTTCTGGCAACCACACTTTGGAAAGGCAGTAGGGGACACTGTTGCTCTCCCTATGCCATCACTTCAGCTCCTAATGGGATCTCAACACTAGATGGGATTAGTCCTTTTGCTTTGCTTCCTCCTGCTACTTCTGCTTTCCTCTTGGTTTCCAGCAGCACCTCACTGGAATGGATTCAATCAGTTCCACACCAGCAGAGATAGTTTAATGTGCTAGGAAGTCCCTTGGCATAAGAGAATTTCTAATTTTGGCTCCAGTAGCCCAAGAAATGTCCTCTTGATCTCCAGCTACCGAGCTAGCTATGAGCAAGAAACAAATAGAAGCAGTCCCAACTTCAACAAGAGTTTGAGGATAGCTCAAAAGAACAAAGACAATGGTTTTATTTTAATGTGAATTCATTTTAAAAGATGCCTTAAAAATGTACCGAGCAAGAGCTAAATTAATACGTGAATTTACTGTGACTTGGTTTTTTTCCAGTACCTTTTTTCTCATTCCACAAATTCTTACCCAGATATCCAAAATAAAGTTCAGTTTATGTAGATATGCACTGAGATTTCTATTAACAGTTAAGCCTCATAAAGAAGCAAGTCACAGCACTTTTACTCAAAGGTGCCTTACATGAATTTTAAAGATCCCAGTCATGACTGTTACTGGAGGTGCTAATGACCAAACTCTAGCCCAAGATAGACATATGAAATTCTCAGTGCTGTGTATGCTAGACTTTCAGCTGAACAACTGCACTGTTAAGATAAAGCCAGAAAGTATCACAGTAGTTAAAAGCCCTCCCCAAATCCTGTAAAACATAATGGAATAGAATTTTCCTTTGTGAGTGACGGTGAATTTCATACTTTCATAGTCCTAATGCTGTGAAAAAGAGCATCACAATGTTTACAACGCCATCAGGTTGTTACTTTTAAGCTTTTATAGCAAACACTGGGTCAGTGAGACATCAAGGACTCTGGCTAACAGCAGGCGTTAGTGTGCTTGTGTATCCATCTGGATTCCTTATCTTTCACTTGCCCCTACACAACCTACATGAGCTCTGTAGAGATCTAGGATCTTCTCCCAGGGGGACTTAACACTAAAGTTCAAGCAGAATTCAGCATTCAGACTCCTCTGTCCTCTGTCTAGTCGAGGCATGAGACTTGATGGCCCAGAAAAAGTATTCCCTTACTCATTTCCTCCCTTGCAGGACTCAGACACCTCCACAGTGAGCCTGCTGCAGCATTTCTCTGCAGAGTGAGAACTGCCACCAGACGGGAGAGGGACCTGACATCAGCTCCTTTACAACTCTACTGCTGGAGAGGCCATGGAGATGCTCCAGTACAGCTTTAGAACTACTGAGCTGAACAGACACATGGGATCTGAAGATACAGACATAGCAGGTCCATAAGACAAAAAGCAGCATCAGGCAAAATTCAAGAAGCCGCTAATATTGCCAATACTGCAGCAGATTTTGTTGATAATTTTCTTATCAATTAATTCTTAATCAATTTCAAATGGCCAAATGAATTCTGACACTGGTGAATCAACTACCATTATCACGAGTACTATGCAGACAGCAATGTTGACCCATATACCTTTGCTGAGAAGAAAAGCAGAGGGCCTTTCCTGTAGCTTGCATCATTTTTCCTGCTCTTGTTTTATCCTGAGAACCCTGTGATCGAAGAAATTTCCCCAATTCATTTTCTTCCTGAGACAGAACTAACAAAAAATAAGTGAGTTGTCAAATATGTTATTTAATTGGTTCCTAACAGCTTTAAAACTGGCCTAACATCAAAGTCTAAGACACTTTAGGTCCAAGCAGTAAAGCAAAAATAAATAATTTTACAGAATTCCTGCATTTAGTAAACAGAAGACCTGATTCATTTGAGACATTTGCTGATATACTTAACAAGAATCACAAAATTCCATCAACACCAAAAGACAACAAGAAAATGTGCTATTTCTTTATGAAAAAGTTAGGTTGGTTTTATTACAAAAAGGGCCATCTTAATTGCAATAACTTTCAGTGTTGGATTTTTTTGGTTCTGTCTGGTTTGGTAGGTTTGTTTATAGTTCTTGAACTAAAAACCGCCTCAGCTGATAGCATACTTTTATTGAAGCTGATTTCAAGCTGCACTAACCAAAGCTCATTCATTTGCTTTTCTCTTGCTCACCATTTTTCATGCTTGACTAAATAAAATTTCACATGAAAAACCTAGTACTTCATTTTAAAGAAAACTTACTTTCAAATTACTTGGCAAGATTACTTGACAATTTTAACATTCTATAATTCAAACACTATTTCAACTATCTGAAAGACATCTGCTTCAAAGTAACTGATAATTTTTTACAATAAGTCAGCATTATCAAATTCATTGTAATAGCATAGATTACTTAATTATAAAACTAGTAATAAGCAAAAAAAATTTTCATCAGCAATTCTCATTAAAAAAACCCAAAACACTGTAACAGCTTAGAAAGGAGTTATGATTCCTTCACAAGATCCTTCTGAATTTAAACAAGCCAACAAGTCATGGGAAAAAAACATAAAGAAAGCTTTCTCCAGTCTTTATTATATTGATATACTGCATTATATCAATATATAAAACTTCAGAACTGGAATATCCTCAAACAAATAAGCACATCTGCATTCAGCTGTCTGCAAGGAACATTACTTTTGAATAGGTTGAAGCTAGTAGTTCCCCACTTTCATTTTTACCTTTTCACTTGTTCAATGATTCCATAATGTAGACCTTCTTATCATTTTAACTACTGTGTTTGATCATACTTACAACAAATCCTTTTTTGATACAGTTCAATTGCTTTCAGCAACTCCATACATGTTCTCTGAATAGAATGGAACAGCTGATATTGAAACAAAATACACAAAAAATTGTCAAGTGTATGCAAGAAACACTGAGGAATAAAATACAAGAAAAAACTTTTTTTTTGTGGAAATTATTAGGGAACACTCTTTTCTTCTTGAACAATGAGCAGTATTTCTGATATTTCCCTTATCAATTATGCTCTTCTTTCATTTAAGGTATTCACTGAAACTAAAGACTGACCAATCATAACTTTACAGAAGGAAAATAAAGAAAAAATAACTTTGGAAGAAGATCTATAATAAGCAGTTGATAGTTAACCAAACTACTTGGGTTGAGGTTTTTTGTTGGTTTTTTTAGGTGATATCTTTGTATAGATATGAAGAGGTACAAACTATTTCTAAAAACCCCGTGGTAGAACAGAGTTATCAAAAGATCTATCAATCAGTCATTCTCTCATGTGGGAATATGCATACTGAATTTTTCATAGACACTGTGAAGTCTAGTGGAACAAACTTGCAGGTATGGCCAACACAGAAAGTTGTTCATTTAAACTGAAAGTTTTACAGGCATAAGCAAATTTCTAAAGCAGCAACTTCCAAAGGAAGCAGAGGTAAAAGGGAAAAAAAAATAAAAAAAAGCCAATCATGACTATACTTGGAGATTGTTTCTAGGAAACAGAAAAATTACTACTCTTTCTGTCTGTCCATCTAAAACCTCCAGCCTGCAACTTAAACCTAAACCACCATATCAGGCGTTACACAGGTAGAAGTAAAATGGACCACTGGCACAGTTACTGCCTTCTTTCAACACTTCTTGACTACAAATTTACATATTTGTCTTTTAAACTGGGAGTATGACTCGCAGGTGAGAATTTGTCCAAAACATGCTTATTTCACAAACATTTATATTGTGTGAACTCAAGTATCCCTATTTCAAATCCCACCTGAGCTAACAAAGCATCCTTCCTGACGAGTCTACTGCAACACAGTAGACATGCTGAAAATTCAGCTATGTATGTATAAAATACTGTTCCATACTTCCAGCTTGTTCTACATCAATACTCTTGATTTATAACCCATTGTGAAGACTCTGTAGGTAGAACCACCTGGTGATACATTATTGCTATTCTTGTGTTTGTTGTCCTACAGTCTCCTGTATTTTAGCTACAATCTAAATAAACTGAGAATCCTAAGTCAGTATTTTTTTTTTTGAAAATGAAGTAAAGGCAGTACAGCAAAACATTTACCCTCACATGAGAAAACAACACAAACAAAACTTATATGGACATTAACTGGGTTATTACACTTCCATAGTGCATCCTCAATTTTTTGTTTTGTCACAAAGACACCCTAGGTCTTCATTTTGTAGAACTTTAACCTGCTTTTTTTCCTTTAGAAGGATTGAGGATACTGACAGTAGGACTGTATTTGTTACACAGCAGGATTCCATCTCTTGGTTTTATTTTACAGACTTTCAGAAGCTTATTCTGCCATGTTAGAACCCACTAATCTGCTCGAAATCTCCAGAGCAGAATGCACTGTGCACCTTGCTCCTGGGCATACTGTATGTTTTTCTGGTATATGTGGTACTTTATACTTGCATAAAAGATGTCATTTGTACACTCAATAAAATACTATTAGGAAAAAAACCCAAAACAAATCACCTTAAACTGACATAGGCAAAGGATAAGGATGATCTCCTGACTCCCCTGCTAACAAAAGGAGAAAATGTGTCCCTAAAACATGAAAATAAATCTGAGATATGTTAAATTCCAAACAAAGTTAGAGGGACGTGGGGTTTTGTGTTACAAAATTCCCCTATATTCCCTGAATTTACACAGATACTTTTGTCAGAATGTGGAAGAGATATTACATGAAAATTACAAAAAAGTATGTATGTTAATATATCCTATGTACACATATATTAAAGGCTTGGTGGAAATGAAAACACTTTAAAAATTACAAGACAGAGAACACACATTTATGTAAACATTACAAACCTCTAGTTTTGCATCCAGATCTGCATCTGAAGCCACAACATGTTCATCTTCCTTTTTTCCTGTAACTTTTATAAGGGTTTGTTTTGTTTTCCAGTATTTCTGTTGCATTTTATTGACAACAGATTTTTCTTGGCTTTGAGCATATTGATCATAAAATTCTCTTGGATAGTTGCTGGAATATTAACAAACAAAATTTAAAACTTTAATTGGATGACTTTAAAAATAAGTATAATACACTCAATTAATACATTTCCATTAAGAATATTGCATTTGCATGTTGACACATATATTCTAAGACGCAGTTCCTCATTCTGCATTAATAAAAAAGTAACTAAATTACTGTATTTCCCATCCTATTGTGATAAATAATACACTGATTTCAATTTGAATTTCTTCACCATGCAGTACTGCCCAATAAGCAGATTCAAAGAATTCTTCCCAATGCTTTCTGAAATGATTTATAGCCCATGGAATTAACTTTTTATTTTGTATAATTAATAGGAGAGTTTCAAGTGAACTAGCAGAGTTGCTTAAGCAGGTAGCAATTTTCACACCATTTCAGCACTGTTGAGATTTGACACAGTGCATTTTATGACTGGGATTAAACTGATTCTTGCCCTCCTTTTTTTCTAATTGAATAAAAAAAGAAATAGAAGAACACTCATCTATTTTGAGCATGTTATGTGAAAGACTGATATCTCACATCTCTATACAATTAACTACATGACAACTGTGCATGTATAACAGGTAACCTTTCCTTTCAAAGATTAGTTTCCACTGACAAGTAATTCTACATTCCTGTAGCAGACCTAATAAAAAGTGCAAGAAATAAATTCCATATTCTACAATATTTAAGCTATACTCAGACAGCTTAATAGAAAATATAGGCTTACAATGAAATTTTAGTGTCTTTTAGGAACTATTATTCCGTTACTAATTTGTGCAAAAGTACATGCATTTCCCCCTATATACATACATAAAAAGCTGTGGTACTCTTTCAGCTTTTTAGAAGTATATGGCTGCTAAAAATTGCTATACTGAATACTCCACAAAACTTAAATAGGTTGAGTTTATTTTGAGAAGATACCTTCCACCTGTGGAGTGATAAACTGTGGTTGATTAGTGAGATACTGACCTCTAGTTCTGTTCACAATACACAGACTGCTCAGAGAAGCTACCCCAAGAGGTCTTCAGACCCAACATACACAGCAAGTCAACAAGCTGTTGGTACACATGTTCCCCTAAAGGGTAGCACATCTACCCTATCTAATTACTAGTGACACAGTTTAAACTGAAAAGGAATTTATTTTCACAGGGTTATATTACTTGCTTTAGTTACTTTTAATCAGTGAGTTTGGTGATTAAGGCACTGTCACCTAAGAGACAGTAAGAAATTAAACTGGAAGTGAACAGGGACATAATTTAAAAAAGCATTTATACAGAGCACTTCATGGCTTCTTCACCAAACTTGAAAAGCAAAGATATTTACCCATTTAACTCTACACAAATATTAGTTCTAAGAGTTTAATTTATTAATTAAAATATAGGTCTCTTGGTGCTACAGCAGAGAATAAAGAACATGTACAAAACATACCATGTTTTATTTGGAATTCTGTATAAACAAGACATTACACACACTGACAACAGACAGCCTATCAAGCTGGGTGAAGATTATATTGACCTGATACATGCTGCGCCTTTAAAATGCAAAATTTACAGCATTTAATGAACAAAAACCCCCCCCCCTGCATTATGAGAAAACATAACATGAGAGTTTAATAAAAATAGCATTACTTTAATAATAATTAAAAATACCCATCAAACTTCTTACAAGGTACTATAAGGGCCTTAAGCTGCCTGGCTAGTTGTGTGCTTTGACTTCTGCTACAGCAGTGAAAATAACAGATCTCATTTCAGTTTTCTTCAAGTGAAGAAAACATCATAATTCATCTGATGTTAACCAGCCTTGAGAGCTACCTCAGCTGAGGTCACCAGAAATTCTGGTGCAAGGACTAAAAATTAGCTACTAATATAAGATTAATATATTGATATAAGATTAATACAGATTCCTGAATTATGAGACTGATAAACCAACTGGACAATCAACATACCAAACACTATTAGCACTTTAGAATAAAAAAAAAATTATCAAGATGCTTACTATTTATGACCTTCCATGATTCTTGTTTTCTTCTCACACCTAAATAAGAAATTACCAGTTAATACAAGTATCTGTAATTTTTCAGTTAAACACTAGAAATCCTGCATTTTTCCCCTCAGAAAATTACCATGCTGCAGCATCTTGTTCACCATATTACAAAAGAAAACTTTTCAATCTATGAGACAAATGCTTTCCTTGTGTAACACACAATTCTCATGAAAATCCATTATAAATGGATTTAAGTGCTGCCATCAGTGATGATCCTTCTATGCTAGCAAGCTTTTCAAGCAAAACACATTTACCAGGTAAAATTCAGTCACTTTTGATGAGGCATGCCAAAACTGTCCATACTAAGCATCACCCTCAGTCAGGTTTTTTCCTCCAAGTTTTAGCCACAATAAAATTCAATTACTTTTTACCTTTTTTTTTCCCTATATCCCACTGATGTATTTTTTAAAACACTAGTTACATCGTGTCTTGAGTCAGAGATGTGAATTTAATGACCAGATGGTTTTTCTATAAGGGACACCACAGTTCCTGAGGATAGAATATGATTTGTATGCGTTAGAACTTAGGTTTTATAAGTTACTCTCTCCAGCTTGGATACTCAAGTTTCCCACTATACTCTGAGCTGGCCAGATGGCATGCACATCACTTCCCACCAGTACCTGAGCACAGTCCTTCTAGGCCAAATTTAACAACCAAGTCAGATATCCTTAAAAAATAAGCACCCAGCTTCTCTGCTGCTTTCAGAGAGGACTGTTCTTCAGCACATGGTTAACATGGGAATGGAGGCACTGCAGCAGGATCTGGGTGAGACCAAATTGAAGCTGGTGAGATGGATGGTGCTGCTGGGGAATGGACTTTAGCAAGTAGGGCACAGAATAAACACACCAATGGGCTCCACAATGGTATGAAGCTGACTGACTAAGGAAAGAGTAATGGAAAAAGCAGCTAGGGAGGTAATGGTGCTGAAACTGGACTTTGGACTTTTTATTTAGCCAAGTAAAAAAGAAAAGGGGCTACAAAGGGGAGACATGGTGTTGGAAACATATCTAGCACAGTACTTCATACAGACAGTGTGGTTAACACTAGAGGCAAAGGGACTGGAAGAGATTGCAGAAACCCAAATAAGGGAATGCAAACAACCTGAATGCTTCCTGCAAGCATGAAGCACATGCACTTCCATTTGGAGCTGAATGGAGACAAATCCCAGACTTTGGAGTCTAACCTCTCTGCTGCCAGTACCTGTGAAACTTCCTGGCAAAGTTCCATGAGATACTGCAAGATTACATCAGAGCAGGAATTTTGCCTGAATTGGAATTTTTGTGAAATGTTCTTCAGCACTGCTGGAGAGACCATGAGAAAATTATGGTCTCTGTCTTCACACCAGAGTTTAAATATAAGAGTCAATAGCTAAAAAAGGAGGAAGAAAGAATCTTTTCAGATTGTTGTTGGTGTTACAGAACTATTGAGACAGACAAGATACAGAATGGAGTGTTTTGCTGTTCTTTCTAGAGCCATAGGCACAGGCACTATGAACTCATTTTCTAATACCTTCATATTCTTGACTTCACTGTTTTCACACTGGTCCTCTTCTAAGTCAGCTGTGAGGGTGTATGAATGAGATAAGACCACAGGATTTAGCTTGTATACACATCCATAACTCAAGTTATTCAGCAGCACACTTGGCTTGACAGGAAGCAAAGAACAGTCTATCTAGGTGGAATAACATGTACATTACTTGGAACAAAATATAAGCAACCAGTATGGGGAAAAGGTGTAAGGCACTGACCTTATTCACTGTTCACATCCACCTGCTTCTCTGAGAAACCAATGTCCCTACAAAAAAATAAATAGGGTCATGGTCCAACAGTTGACACTTGCAAGTATAGCTCATGCTATACTTCCTAAACATCTGACCTCACCTTTTGACTCTGAAATCTTCTTAGTTATACTCTTCAAGGTTCTACATAGCACCCTTATGCCCTGAAGATACTCTTTGCGGAAATTTTTACATTCAAAGTAGACAATATTTTCATGGTATGACAATGAGGGCATGTATTTTCTGTTCTGCTGTGTGACAGGATGGCATTTGAGGTGTTTGAGGCTACAAGACCTGCTGGGATAGTGTCCTATGGCAAATCAGGGTGGAAGGAAACAGAAGTGAAGCCTTACCTACACTGCCTGCTGAAAATGGCACCAGGCATGTGATATCACCCAAAACATGCCAGGAGGGAAAACGGTCCCAGAGAGCTCTAGATAGTAGAGATAAAAACCATGCCAGGGAGATTGCTGTAATTAAGCAGTGACAACAAGCAGCAGCCAAGGACACAAATTCAATCCCTGGGCCCATTTTATTTTCAGTATGGAGCTAACTTTTGGTCCTAAATGAGAATTCAGTTTGCAAAGACAACTTAGTAAGTACTAGATTTGAAAAAACAGAAATGTAGTTGCTAAAATATAATGTGCAGTAAGTTGTCTCTGTAGTAATTTAACAGGGCCCTAATTTATTTATATAATCTTTTACTTCATGTGTTGTCACTGTCTGTTCCAAGTCCAGCAACTAAAAAGGGTTAAGATACTGGTTATAACAAAAGACATTATTAAAAGCATATGGCTTAACTGAAAGCAGTGAGACTTTTCAAAAGAAATACCAAAATATAAGTCAAGTCTCAAAAAATGAGAGATACTAGTACAAGGGAACTGGAAATAGCCCAGGGAAGTATTCAAGAATTAAAAGGAACATTTCACAGCCATGTAAAGAAGAATCCCTGCAGTCACAGAATGTTGGCCCTGAAGCTGCAGAGAAAGACCAAGAATGAGCACATAACCTCTCACTACTTTCAAGTTTTGGCCTCTCTTATGCTTTCAAAGAACAAGACAAATGCCCTGAACAGAAGTAACAAGCCAGTTGGTCTTTGCCAAAACTGACTACAATAGAAGCACATGACACTAAAAACTTGAATCTACCAATACTCTCTCCAAAAACTGCAGTGAAATTTAAAATTAACCCACATTATCATACAGTTTTAGATATAAAAACAAGCTTTATTTGCCACAAGGAGTTGATGTAAGAGACTTTTTTGTTTGATTTTCTTCTCACTGTATTAAAATGAAAAAAAGTGAAAAGTTCAATAAATATTGAATACCGATAATGATTAACAAAAGAAAAAAAAAATCACCACCCTATAGGAAAGCATTTGTATTGGGAAGTTTCCATATTTGCCAATAGAGTCACACAACCCTTGTGATCTCCTTGACAGGCTTTATCTTGACAAACAAAAGTGAGGGATACTCTAGATGTGGGGGTGAGTGTCAGAAGCAAGCATACTTGCTTTATTCACACCAGAGAAAGCAGTGCCACATTACAGGTAACTGTACACAAACCCATGATTAATACTGCAGAGTGATGGATCTGAGGCTTCCTGAAGAAGCCTCAGAAGGACCCTAATGGATCCAGTAATTTTGCAAGTGCTTCTCAGTGTTTTGAGAGAACCTTATGCTACCTCAGTTTAAGCATTAAACCTGAGCTGGCCCTATTCATAACAAATCTTGGAACACAAGGGACCACAGAACTGAAAGACCCATTCCTATACGGAACCAGCTGGGGTCACAAGCCCTGCCAAAACCTTGAAAATCTCTAGCAGGTGTTTTTGAGGAGCCACCAAGAATCCTCAGCATCACTCTCCACAAGCCCATTTTGCAGACTGATGCCAGAGAAGACAGGTACAGCCTGGACACTGAAATACATTAGAACTGTTTCTAGACTCAGACTGGCTTCATGTGTAACACAGCTGAAGTCAGGCAGTGCTCTGCCACAGATAACAAGAAATGCTGAAACCAAGATGGTCCTGCAAACAGCCAACTATGGCAGAGTTTATCTGGGTGGTAGACTATTTACCCACAAATTATTTCTGCAGGAAGCTGGACTGCACACAGAATTTCATGTTATTTCAGCCACACTCATCATCCTACTGAGAAATGTAGCTGTAACACTGGAACGAAACTTGATGGAGGACACTTGTCATTAGCAAGTGGCATTTCTATTCCTACGAAAAATCCTCTGATTCTCTATATTCTCCAAGACCCCTTTAATAAACATGTAAATTTTTCTGTACAAATATAAAATGCTTTCTTGGTGTTTTGTGTGATTTGAATTGCAGTGTACACTAGGATTACCTTTCAGCTCGTGTTCTGTACAGCACTTGTACAAGCTTGCTTTTCTTTTTTAGCTTTAGTACATTTTGTTGCAGCATAAGTTGTCTGGTTTCCCAAGAGCTGAACAGCTTTATGAATAATCTTTCGATTCTACTTGTGTAAGAAAAAGATGGTATGAGTGCCTTCTCTCCAAAAGCTACATTGATAATAAACATGTCTGTATATCAGTGTCACATTTCTTCAGTGAGCCTAAATGTAATCTGTAAGTGTCATGTGGCATGGTAAAGTTCAGACCTTAATACTCTCCTAGGTTATGAGGAAACCTGTAAAAAAACCCAACCCAACAAACAAAAGCTTTACCCCTAATTCAAGTATCTCTTCTTGTCTGAGCATTGGTTACATAGCTCTTACTGATCACATAGACAACAGATCACATAGAAAAATATCAGGATGCTACCAGAGGCATCAAACAGGAATCTTTTAAACTCTGAAGATTGTATGTAAAATAAACTGTTGATCTAATCACACCTTCTCAGAACAAAAAGATGAGCTGAAATCCTTGCAATAACATTATAAATTCTGATGACCTAGCAGTTATGTAGGATGGCAGTAGACTGAACAACACATTCTTTTGAGATACATCCAGAAACAAGGAAAGGGAACTAAACAAATAGCATAGCAGAATTCAGCAACCCTAACGTGAAGCAATATGTTCATCAAAACACACAGAAGAGTCTGCACGTTCACTGACAGAACTGTCTTCTGAGTCTACTGTTCTTTCAAAGCAGATAATATGTTCTGACATACTCTCCATATCCTAAAACCCTTGCAACTTACAACTTCAAATATGGCACAATCATACATTGCAGTTGATTTACGTATGTCAACAGTTTTATTAAAACGAAGAATCTTCCAATAAACTTTGAATACATTAATAGCACAGTGGTGCTAAGTAACAGAAAAACATTAAAATTAAGGGGTTCTATATATAAAAGTGAAGAGTGGAAGTTTCATTTATGTAAAATACTTTGAAAGGAAGAAAATGTGCCTAGGTGAGGGAATCAAGGCCATCTGTGCCTCCAACAGCTCTTGGCTGACAACCTATCTCCTCCACTCTGCTCCCTGGAAACTGCGATCAAACTGAACCAAGTACATAGGTTGCAAAATAAGAAGCAGTCTCACTGCAAGATGAAGACTAGACAGAGTGCAGTTTTATTTTCTCTGGTGTGTCTACAAACACACAGACCAGGAGCTTCAAATGGTGTTTGATTTTGACCTTCCCAAGCAAAAGAGAATATAGCAGCCTGTAAATCTGAATTATCCATGTTGTCAATGCAGGAAAAGAATGAAAGCTGAAGTCTGGGTCCTTCAGCATCAAGATTATACACAGACTTATAAGTATTCCTACTCTTAAATACAAGAATAGCTACTCTAACTCAGCTAAAATGAATCTAGAGTTCAAGCTATATCTATGACAAATGACAAGATTTAATTTTTCCTCTAAAGCTCTTAATTCTCAATATTGATGCTCTAATCCTGCAGAATCATCCATGCTTAGCTTCAAATCCAGGAGTCTTTTCATTCTGTTAGACTACTCACTGATGCCCTTGTTTATTAATTCAAAAAGTTTGCAAATTGGCCTGTAAGTGCTGCATTAGCAGTTCCTTCCAGCCATTACAACTTTTTGTCTAATCCTTTGTCTCAGACTGATCCACAGCTTTGCTACTTATCCTGGAAAGTGTCTATCTTGGAGATTACCCACAAGTTCTCAGAAGAAGAAAACATAAGATTGCAGTTATCAACTGAATTACTCTTTCAATCTATTTCAGGAGTTGACACCTAGAAAGAAATTTCATACATTCTTAAAAGAAGCACAGGATTAAATGGCATCTGTTACACAGTGAAGGCTCCTGCTAAATTCATATATTCACCTGGGAGGTGCTGAGAGGGGAAAAAATCGTCCTGTTTGACTGCAATTATCTAACTGTAGTGCCTAAATTGCCATACGAGCCTCTCAAGACTAAGTCCCTGTACAGAGAGTGAACAGAACCTCCACAGAGCAATGCTGAGCACCTCAACCAGAGCCTCACCACTGTGCTCTGTGCACACAGAAATTATGCTTTTTGCATTAGGCACATGAACTACGAAGATAGATCATGCTGTGAGAGCACTGCTCTATTCCCCCTCTTTTAGAACTAGGATTTCATGGTGGTCTGTTGAATTACAGTGGAGGAGGGAAAAAAAAAAAAAAAAAGCAAAAAACCAGCAGCACACTGAGTAACACTGAACACTGAGTAACACTGTCTTTTGGATATGGCCATATCCTGTTAAGTACCCTGGAACCAATTTTCTCTTTCACTACAAACACTTCTGGAATTAACATTTTTATACATAGTTTTCCATGTTTCCATAGTTTGCCATTTCCTTCTCCTCTCTACCAAGGCCTATGAGACATCTCAAAACCACCATTTATTCCATTTCATTTATCCATTTTTCTTGACCCTTCAAAGAATTAACCTACTGTACCACACTCCCTACCCCTGCCAAATTTGATGTGCAGTAAAATCCCATGCACATATTAAAAACAACAGAAATATCAGAGAAATTGGAGTCTGTCCTCCAAGTTTGACCCAATACAACACACCTCTCTTTTTCCAGCCAGTAAACTGTGTGGAGAACAAACCACAGTAATACCAGCAGGTATCTTAAATGACTGAGATTGTGTGATTAGAGATTTGCACCGTAAGAAACCATGATGAAATATGAATGGTTTGGGTCTTCTTGCTGTCATTTTGTAGCACTACCTAGGCACCTGTCTGCACACAGCACAACCAACCAAATGAGCAGCAGTACTACTGACACCTGGCTTTCACTCAACTTTACAATGACTCTATTTAATACTCTGTGTAGGGCATATATGGGTCACATCTATTGCAGAGAGTACTGCCAAGAGTTACTTTCTTCCAAAACACAATTGTCATACTTCTAATTTCAGAATACACAATTAATGTTGGAAATTATTCTACTTAAGTTCCTGGTACAGTCTAAAAAAAGAATGAGATCCGGAGCCATGTTTCTTATGCTGTCATTTAGTCTTTATTTTTCTATTCCCAACTCTGATGCATACAAGTTAATAGAAGTGGCAGACAAACTGCAAATTTACACTTTAAGAGTTTATTGCTGACTTATACCAAGAACTGAAGAGTATCAATTAATCTGAACCACTCTGGTTTTCAGTACTTGAGTGGTTACAAGTAATTTTTAGCCAAAATGAAAAAGCTGAAATTTGGTCCTTTCAACATGTTTTTTAAAACTTGGTTTTGCCCCACAAAGTGCAAGGACCAATTCAACAGTTAGCATTCCTCTTTAAAAAATCATTTTGTGTCTATTTGGTACTATATATCTGTCATATTATTCCAAAAACTATCAGATCAAACTTACAGGCATAAATTATCTCCTCTCTAGAGGATAAAATGCATTGAAGTGATACTTGGAGCTGGGTTGGGGGTTTTTCTGGTTGTTGTTTAAACAGTTGAATGAAAAATCCCTAAACCCAGTGGATTATCTCAAAAACACTGATAAGAATGGCACACGAAGTCACAACAGTACATGCAGTCTCAGAACAAAATATTTCAAATAAATGCTGGTGGACTGCAAGATTGACGAGCAAACAATAGCACTTTCTAGATAAGCTCATTTGCACACAGAACTTTATCTTTGCACAGATGTATTTAACCACAATTAAAATTAATTTAAAAAAATAATTTAAAAAAAAAATAATTTAAATCTAGTTTTCAGATTATACTGATTTTTCATTTGCTTACTGTGGAATAATGTAGGGACAGTACATAGTATCAGTTTCCCCTCAGGTAACATCTTTTGCTTCACTAGTAAAGCACTGCACTTATATTTGTGGAGAACCATGAGACAACCAGGTAAGCATTGCAAGTACTATATTCATTTTAAAAGAATAATTTGAGTATAAATCATTGAATGGCAGGTCTAAGAGCTCAACGCAAATGAGCAAAACTGGAGATATTTTTAATTTTCTAAATGCAGACTTGCTTTGTTTCTTCAAAATTACTATAAAATTGTTTTGTAATACACATTTTTGCTCTTAGTTTAAGAGCCACTATTTGTAAACTTAATAGGTGAATATTATTAAAGAAAATATCATAGGCACTGTACACAGATTATAAGAGACAAGATTGTTTTTCTGACACACTCTACCTGTAATCAGTCTAGAGCCTTAATATTGGGAAACTTTCCTTTTGTGAAATTATGGGAAAAGTAATGAACAAAAAAAAATCATGAAACTCTTTTTGCACATATAGTATATTACATACAAACATATAAGGCTTTAGAACTTCAAACTCTAAATGGTAACTGAAACTTCAAATGGCTCTCTTATTTAGAAGCCCTATTTGCTGGCACATGCAACCCTCTCACATTTCTGCCTCCCTCCTGCCTTTTCATCCATTCAGAAGCCAGGAGGAGGCAACACCATTTAGACCCAAAGGGAAACAACACTGGAGGAGGGAACACAAGAAAATAATTTTCTCCAGATTCCCTTGGAGATTATTTCCCATCTGTGGATAAGAGATTCAATTAACAAAACAGCCTTAGCATGCAGAGCAACAACAATACATGGCGATCTCCTTGCGCCACCCTTTGAGTAAACACCACCAGTACAGGCTATATATTCTCAGCAGACACGTAGTCCACTCAACTTTTATATTACTGCTTTCAGTAATATCCTGCCACTCCAGCTGACTCTTCCCAGACAAGTGGTGATCCTTATGAAGCTACTGCAAGATGGACCCAAGCACTGTTTCAGTGACTTGGTACAGACAGTTCTCAAGGTTGACGTAAGCAATTGTGTAACCGGTCAAAATGCCCCTCAGTTTGCCGTGGCTAACAATAGCCACAGGAAGAAATACTGTGAGACTGTTATTACCAGCAACCCTTAAAAAGGTCAAATATTTCTACTGTTCTTGATTGTTTGGTTCTGTCTCTAACAAACTTCACTCTCTTGGCTTTTGTATTTTTAATGCTTCTGCATCATGTGGCGTAATTTTGTCTCCAGAGTGATTTTATGGTTGAGAAGCAGCAAAACTTCTTGAAGAATAAACTACAGGGCAATACACTTGGAGGTGATTTTGAAAAAAAGTATTAAAAAGTGAGGGCATTTTTTGTCTTGTTCAGATGAAATATTAGCACGTTTCTTTTCTGTCAGCTCGAACCAACAGCTTTCAACGCTAGCTGAAGACTGAGAAGAGCTGTTATTATTAATTTCTTCAAGAAAAGGTTACATGAGAAATCATTAGAACAATTTAACAATCATGTAAAGTACGGATAACAGAGAAGAACTGGCAAGATGGTTGGGCTCGAAACTCTACAAAGCCAGGACAAAACCCCCTAACCCTGTAGTAGGAATTTCACTTTGCTCTATGTGATCTCCTTCACCCCTCACTAATAGGAACTTCTAAAAAAATAATAAAAAAAAAAGTTAATGAAACCTCCCCTTTCCATAAAGTCGTAACTGGTCTTCTCCAATCTGCAGTAACATTTATATTTGAATCTCAACTCCAACAAACGATAGAAGAAAGCACCACTATCTAAAATGTATTTAATTTTTTTTTCTCAAGTGAAAAGGAAGCAAATTCCACTGACCAGCATCTAGACTCCAGTAAAGTGCTGGAACCTTTCTGGAAACAACAATGTTTCACACACGAAGCTCTGACAGTGAAGAAACTTCAGAAAATCATTTAGAGTAAGGTTTGGCAGCATTTAACCACCACATTATCTTCCAGTAGAGTCTGTCATGTGCAAAATGTGACTGGTAATACCAGTTATGGCAGTTCACTACTCAAAAGATCTCTGTGGCTTGACACTAAATTCCTCCTTCAGTGGTATTAACATTAATCTTAAACCATTATATTACTAAGTTCAAACCAACAGGCTGTTCAAACAGCAGTTAAAAAAATTGGTAAAGTCTAAATGAGATGTTGCTGGTCCTCATGCTAGCTACCAGTAAGAACTGCAACTTCTAGATCTGTGCCAGACAGCAATGTCAGGGGATTCTTCAACTCCTTCTTTGAGAACATTGGATAGACAAAGTGAAAAGAGTGGTTTATAAAAAAAAAAAATCAGACAAAAAGACCATAACCAAATGCCACCTGCACTGCAGATGCAAAATCCAGCCCACTGTTTTCTCTATCCAACACTTTGGAAAAGTGATCAAAGAGTTTTGTCCTTTCAAGAGTCTTGCTAGATTAAAACACAGGAACAGTTTATTTCCAAGAAGTCTACTCTGAAAGAAAAGTCACAGCTTCTTTCTGTGACCCAAATGAAATAAAACCAAAAGAAAGAGGATAACATAATTAAACATATGGAGAACAAAAGCCAACAAACAGGTGCTTCATGGATATAAAAGGTCATCTTGGTTTAAAGCAAGGCTTTTAGACAGGGGGGAAATATCACAAACAACCAAACGGAAGAACAAGTCCAATGCCAAGCTTCCAAAATACTACCACAATGTGACTCGGTGGCAGGGGGAAAAAGGATGTAACCTTGAGATTACCAGAGTCAGTTTGATATTTACACTTCTGAACTAAGGCAAGCCTGAATTACTGCTTTAAGAGGGGTCACACAGATCCTTGAGGCTATCAGCTTTACTCAAAACAGTATGGAACAGGAGATTTTTTTACATATGGCACTGAACATATATATAATGATATCGACAAATAAAAGAACACAGTGCCTTTCACCCCTTTCTGCTGCTAAAATATGACCTAATGTTTCAAGTAATATCCGATTTTCTTTTTTTCTTCAAAACGACTAGAGCAGCTTTCATGGGTCAGGTGGATGTATGAAAAATAAATCTGATTACCAAGATGAACCTTTCACAAATTATAAGCTTTAAATCGTAAATGTGGGGCTCCTGAATTGCCATTTCACCAGCTGTTACTGTCTCGGTGCTGGTTCGAGATCTGTCATTACCTGACCAGAGGATGCCTTGCCACCCCTCTCCACCCGGCTGGCCTCAGGAGGGGTCGGAGCGCGGCCGAGCAACCTGCGCCTCAGCCCGGCAGCCAAGCCGGAAACCGCCGAGCAGAACCGGCCGTTTCCCTCCCCGCTTCCAGCGGGCAGAGCGCCAGGGAGGATGTACGGGAGGCACAAACGGATAAATGCAATAATCATGGCGAGACAACCGCACGGCGGGAGGGGGAACACAAGGCAAAAGGAGGGACAGATGCCATCTTGTGCCTCGGAAATTTCGCTCTGAACAGGTCCGGCCGTGGATACAACGCTGACGGGCACCAGCTCCGCAGGCCCGGCGGCCGCGCCGCCTCCCTCGCCCCGAGCGGGCTTGCCCGTGGGGGAGGCGGCGCCCACCCGGGGCTGGTACCCGCGGCACCAGCTCTCCCCGCCCGGCCCCAGCACGGAGACCAGCGAGG